CTTTTCCCCTCCTGCAGAGCTGCCGGTTGGCTTGTAGGGTGCTGAGGTGGGGCTGGGGGTGGTCAGCCCCTTGGGCAGGGCTGTCTGCCCTGGGAAGATGCTGAGTCCCCTGCATGGGACATCCCACTACACCGTTGCTCCCTGAAATGGGAACCAGAGCAAGGAGACAGGTGATGGAGAGGAAGGACGAGCAACCAACCCTCCCTACCATGCAGCAAACCAACAGGTCCCCCCACCTTCCCCAGCCCCCTCCAGCCATCCCTGTGGCCCAGGGACACTGGGCACAGATTTGGGGCTCGCTCCATGTCCCTCTGGATGACATTTTCTTGGCAGATGTGACTGTAAATGGAGTTCTCAGGTGAATGGTGGCCATCTGCATGGGTAGCCCAGACCACCAACCCACCCATGGGCAGGGTGAGACCACCAACCGATCCCCGGGGCAGTCTGGATGGGCCATGACCATGGGCTGATTTCCCCCCATGGGCTCAGGTCCAAGGTGGGATGGAGGGATGGCAGCCTGGCCACCATCTAGGGGAGACAAATATGTGACTCGGTCCCTTTTATCCAGAGAAATCGGGCTCCCCGTGGCATCACGCTCTGCGTCTGCTCCCAAGGTTTCTCCTGACTAAAAGCCATCCCTGTCCCACTCCGATGAGGATGGAGAACTGGGGGAGATCCCGCAGCACCCCAGCTCCCAGCAGGCAGCACCCCAGCTCCCAACATACCTTCAAAAGTCCTGTCCAGGCAGCAAGAGCAGAGAGCAGCGAGCACCGGCTGGCCATGGGGAGCGGGGTGTGATTTAGGGGACACTAAATGCTTATTCCCCCTGATCCTATCACCGCACTATAAATAGGGCCAAGAGAGCCGCCGGACTCAGACGACGCACGGAAGGGCGGAGCGTGGGTCCTGGTGTGACCTTATCAGCACACAGGGGGATTAAGCTGGTGCCTTGGCAGGAGGGCATGGCTCCCCCCTGCCTAGAAACCCCCCTGTTCCACCCTGGGGATGTGTTTTGGGGAGAGGGCAGGTTTATCCGGCACGCAGTGACCTGTCCCGTCCCAGCAGTTTTATGGGGAGAGCTTCTCAACCTGGCCATGGATGGGGGCTTGGGGCAGGGAAGAGCCATCATTTATTTCATTCAGTACCCCAGGGGTTCCTCTTTGCTTTTGCAAGGGAGTAAAGTCAACAGGCTTGCTTAATTAAATATGCTAATAGTGCAGCCATAGGAATGTGAGCTGAAGCCAGAGATTTCTGTATTGGACAAAAGCGTTGGCTGTTGGGATTCCTTCCCTCGATGTAAAGAGTTTCCAGATGATGTTCCCCAACTGATTCTCACAAAGGAGATACTCAAACCAGTTCAGATGGCCTCCAAAAACCAGAGGAACTGCCCAGAGATGTGGAGCTTTGTTAGCAAAAGTTTGCTCGGGTGGTTTGGAGAAGCACTAACACCCACCGCTCCTCCAGCACCTATCCCAGATGGCCACCTGAGTGTCCTTTGGGGGACCTGTCACCTCCAGGGACAGGACCCTCCTGCACCACCGGTGACCTCCAGCAAGGCTGTGGGGCTGTGTGTAGATAAGGGGAGGACACAGCTCGCATGACACCCCAGCATCCCGACACTACATGCCATGGTGGAACCATGGTGCCCTGACTTTCCCGCAGCTGGATCCAGCCCTGCGGATCCAGTCTCTCTTCCCCTGGGAAGGATGAAAGCTAAGCTCTAGGGTTAGACAGAAACAACTAAAAGCCTAGCTGGGATCTCCAGCCTAAAACCAGCTCCCAGCTTTGCTTTTGGCTTGAAAAAATGTTAAACGAAGGAGTTTTATTTGTTTCCTTTGTCTTTGCGGGGAGTTGGTCAGGACAGAGCAGGGGGATGTGCTGCTTCTGAGTCCTGCCAGCTCAGGACATGGTGCTGTGCTTCTGGGATGATTTCTACATCTCTGGCACAGCAGGCATCTCTGTGTCCATACCCACCACCCAGGGTGGCTTGGAGAAGAAGCGACCCCAGCAGAGAGTCCCCTGTGAGAACAGAGGCTGTCCCAAGCTCATGGACACTAGTGAATGGAGAGCAACCAGCCCACGCAGGGAGGAGATCGCCCCAGCTCCCCCCAGCCAGGAGGACCTCCTGAGGACAGCTCGCCTTGCTGGAGCGAGGATCCAGATTGCTCTGAAAATCACACCTCTTCACACATAGGACCACAGAATCCCAGGAGGGTTTGGGTGGAAGGGACTTCGGAGACCACCCAGTGCCACCCCCTGCCATGGGCAGGGACACCTCCCACCAGCCCAGGTTGCCCAAAGCCTCATCCAGCCTGGCCTTGAACCCCTCCAGGGATGGGGCATCCACAGCTTCTCTGGGCAACCTGGGCCACTGCCTCACCCCCCGCACAGGGAAACATTTCTTCCTCACATCTCATCTCCATCTCCCCTCTTCCAGCTTCAAACCGTTCCCCCTCGTCCTGTCCCTGCACCCCCTGATCCAGAGCCCCCCCATCTCTCCTGTAGCCCCCTTTCAGCACTGGAAGGTGCTGGAAGGTCTCCCCGGAGCCTTCTCTTCTCCAGGCTGCACACCCCCAACTCTCTCAGCCTGTCCTCGCACAGGAGCTGCTCCAGCCTCGGCCCATCTCCGTGGCTCCTCTGGCCCCGCTCCAGCAGCTCCGTGTCTGTCCTGTGCTGAGGACCCCAGAGCTGGAGGATGGGAAAGGATGGCAGAGGATGGGAAAATGGGGCTGGGGGCAGGAGGGAGCCAGAAAAGGGTCATTGCAGGGAAGGGAGAAGTAGTGGTCCATCTGGAGACGAGGGACAGGAAGACCTTCTGGTGCTGACACCTCTCTTTGGGCTGGATCCCACCACTGCAAGAGTTGTTCCTCTGGCAAGACATAGACATTTACCCTCCAGGCTTGTCCTGAACCAGGAGGAGAGAAAAAGGATGCGACGGTAGACACCGACATGGCTATAAGATGAATTGCACCCCATAGCTGGCTCTTTATGGGGTGGGATGGGGGGAGATGGAGGCAGGGAACCAACGGGAGCATCTCGCTCTTGAATCTCAGCCAAGAGCTCCTCCAGCATGATTAGCTAAAGACCAGCTTTTCTTGTACTGCACACGAGTGGATAGGCATTTAATGTGCTTGTCTATAATGAAATCCATTATCGGCATCTTTCACGGAAGCCCTACAGTTCTGGTTCCCCCTTTTCATGGCCAGAGGTGGCGGGGGAGAGGAGGAGGAGGAGGGATGGAGGCAGGTACAGCCAGGTCCTTTGTGCAGCCACTCAGGAGGCACTCTCCCCATAAATGTTTGGGCTCCTAAATGGATTTGATCTCCCCTCCTTCAGCCCCTTTCCCTTTCATTTTCTTTTCCCCATTATCCTCATGGAAAAAAAAAAGAAAAAACCCCACCAAACCCTTATCCAGATCATTAGCGTCAGAGGCGGGGACAGGCACCGAACGCCACATGGAAGAGGTGAACATACATTTCGTTCAATGCCCCTCGAGTGGCATTTCACTCAAGGCTGCTCCTTCACAAAGGGAGATGTGAAAATGGTCCTCGCTGGCGGATCACCGGCAGGCGCCCCCGCCGGGGGGCGACCCCCCGGCAGCCGCCCCGACGGGGCTTGATGCGAAGCTGCCTCTTCACGGGAGACAAAGCGCAGCCGGTTCCTCTGCCTTCGATTGATGTCTGAGTTGTTTGGGGAAGCATTTAGCGAAGAAGGGAGGGGGGAATTCAATGAGAGAGCCTGAGCGATGCTAATAGAGATAACGGCTCTGAAAGACCCAAGGTTGAGTGCTCCACGTTTGGTCTGCCCATCTTCAGCGTCATTCCTCACCATTTCGGGGGGACATCAGCTACAACCACTGCAATGGTCCAGGATTAATGGAAACCAACACCAAGACCCCCAGCTGCCCCTTGGCCAGCTCTTTCCAAAGCCATAGATACAGATTACACCACACTGCTGGTTTTCCAGCATCCCAGTGAGGAGCTGTTGTTGAGCATCCATCTCCCCAACGTGTTGTGCAGAGCAGCACTGTGAAGCCCGTGGCACCTCATCCATCACCCATCATCCCCTGCCATGAGCCCACGGTCTTCTTCTTCCTCCCAAATGCAGGAAGGCACAATATTTCCATGGGCATGCAACTTCTTGTCTTCCCACTCCACCCCAAATCCCACTCCGTCTGCTGCCCACTGAAGTTTCTGGGGGTCCCCACCACCATCGCCCAGGTGTTGCAACCTCTCCTCTGCTCCATGAACCTGTGGCCAGCCTTCACATGGTCTCTCTCTGAGGGAGAAATGTCCAAAAAATGCAATATTTCTCCATTTCTTGCTCCTGCCCAATGGAGCAAAGAGACCCCCCAGGTATCCCTGGATAACTCTCCATCCCTGACCCTGCTGTGGTCTCCTTGGGTGTCCAAAAGGACAAACCAACCCAACTCTACCCACCCCAACTTCTTAGGATTGCAATGACACGAATGACCTCCCACCACTAACACCAATAACCAGTGATTTGCTATGAAATAATCATGAATAAGAGGCAGCCCAGAGGTTTCTGAAGACCAGGGAACCCCAAAATCAGAGTCAACTTCAGTGCTGCTCCACCGCCCATGGTCATGCTCCACAAATACCATCAAAGGCCGTATCCTGAGGTGTAGGGGCCAGGGGTTTCCAGGGCTCAAGCTCTTTGGCAGCTCCAAGCCCTGGATACAAAACTGCCCTGGGATGCCCTGCCCTGGGATG